TACTAGTATTGGTATCTGTGCCAATACCATGTATTGGGGCAAGTACTCATACTCACCCAAATGCTCCAATACTTACCCCCGATACCGGAACTTCCAGTCAGAGGGATATTTCCTCTGACTGGCAGTGCCGCTAGGGAAGATGTAGCCAGCTTCCTGGCCAATCAGGAAGCTGGACGGTGGGTAATGACTCACCGCCCATCTTCCTGATTGGCCAATAAGCCAGCTCCATGCTGTGTGGCCGGCTGGATGGTAAATGGCCCGGGAAGCTGGCTTCCTGGCCAATCAGTATTGAGCCGGCCAAACAGCATGGAGCCGGCTTTCCGGCCAATCAGGAAGCCGGGCGGCAGGTAATGATGAGCTCAGCTCGATGCTGACTGAACCTGAATCAACATGGAGCCGCCAAACAGCATGGAGCCGGGTTCCCGGGCAATCAAGAAGCCAGGCGGCAGGTAATGACACGCTGCCTGGCTTCCTGATTGCCTGGGAAGCCAGCTCCATGCTAGTGGAAGTACCGGTATTGGTACTCGGTGAATACCAACATATAAGTATCGGTACTCGTACTCGATACCGAAAAAACGGTATTGGTGCATCCCTCATACAGACAGATTTCTGTGGGCTGAAGAAAGTGTATCATACAAAGTGTGCCGTGGTGTTACAGTGATGTGGTAGAAAGCTAGTTTGCTAAAAGATGGGTGTTTCTTAAGGACAAAATTATTGTGACACATCTACCACCATTAGCTTCCTTTGAGGCTTTTGCCATTTGGTCACATGACATCTTAGAGCCAAAAAGCAGATTGATGCTAGAAGACTTCCCTGTAACATACACTGCAATTGCAATTCTGAATTGAGAGCAGGTAGCTATATAATGCATGTGGCACTGAAACCGGGTCCAGTTCTGATTGATGTCTGAATGGTGAAGTATCTCCATTCAGGGTCACCAGTTTAACAAATTTAGTTAGAACTGTCCCAGGTGAAAAATTCCCCCTGACCCCACCCCATTTCTCCCCTCATAAGAATCCAAACAATTGTGATTTATGAATTACACAATTCTCTGTAGACTGGACAAATTTGCATGCACATTTTTAGAAGAATCCAAAAAAGATTAATCATCTGGTTTTAAAATGGATTGACTCATCAGTACTGTGAAGTGCTTTACATTTAGAAATAACACGAGAATAAAATAAGCCAAACTGTAAGTAAGTGGTTACAAAATATTCTGTATATTCTGTATATTTGCACATTTTGAACACACTTTTAGATAAACCAGTGTTTAAATGTTTACAGTCAATTTGTTTTGTCCACAGCGGTGACAGCTGGAGGCTTTCATTTTACAGTACTTGGATGCTTCAAACATAAATGCAAAATCAACATGCTTTTAGTTGCGTTTAGAATTTTGAGTATAATAACATAAAAGGAAAGGGTTGTCTACCTAACGTCAACAGCTCTGCATATTTCGGCACTTTTTGGAGTGTTGTTAATGGGAGTATCTCAATGCCATCTCAATCTCTGCTGCATGTTTACTTTCCTGAGATAAACTGGGAATTTAGTTGAAACTGGCTGTTATTAGTAACCTTTTATGTAATGTAATCATGTAAGTGAATCAGAAAAATGCAAAACAATATTTAAAACTGAAGTCTTCTCCAAAGATTGCAGAACACCGCCACACTCTCTAATGTTGGATGTACACAAGCTCTGAGCTCTGAATTTTTAGTCCTTGTACACCTTCTTTTCTGGATATAACCATCAATCAGTTCAAAGCAACCAGAGAGATATTTATCCTGCACCCACTGCTGTTAAAAATCACTTAATCACAAAAGATAGCAACATGATACCCATAGCAATACTTATAGCTCGAGTTTGCATGTTCTCCCTGTGCTTGCGTGGGTTTCTTCTGGGTACTCCGGTTGCCTCCCACACTCCAAATACATGCTGGTAGGTTATTTGGCTCCTCTCTAAATTGGCCCTCTATGTATGCATGTGAGATAGGGACCTTAGATTGTACGCTCATTGAGGGTAGGGACTGATGTGGATGTGCAACTATGTAAAGTGCTGCGTAAATGGTCGGCGCTATATAAATACCTGTAATAGATAGTAAATAAATATGCTTCCATTAAGGTTAGATTCTGTTTGTAAATTGTAAAGTTTCCTAGAGCTCACTAGAAATGCCTTAGGACCTTGGTTCTCAACTGGTGGGTCGTGACCCAAAAGTGGGTCGCGACCATGTGTTCAGTGGGTCGCCACATGCCTTCCACTTTTCTAGGTGAGAGGCTCCTCTGCCTCCCCCTAGCACAGCATTGTCAGTTTTCATGCCAAGCAGCCATTCAAAATATGCTGCCCAGTGCCGAGTGTCAGCTTCAAGTGGAATGGGATGGGGCTATGGCCGGTAGGGGGCTCCATCCATACGTGCATTGCTTACAGCTCCCTCACGTAACCTATAGAGGTGCCTGGACAAGAGTGACAACACATTGTGGCCACCGGCACCTCTACAGGGCATACAATGGTGCTGTACAAGCCATGCACATATGGCTGGAGCTCCGTCACAGCAGAGGAGCCCATACTGGACCCCAGGCTGAGGATCCACTTCAGTTCTCGTAAGGTGGGTAGACTGGGTGTACCTTAAAAAAAAAACGTTTGGGGAGTGTGTGTGTGAGAATGTGTATGTATGTATGTCAGTGATTTTAAGGGCCCATTCACACTAGTACAGTGCGTTAACTGCATAGCACTGTGCGATTAACGCAATGTACCATGCAATCGCGCCTACTGTGCAATCCCACTTTCCGTACACCCCCTCCAGAACGAGCAGTACCCTAATGCCTTGCGCTCCATTGCAGTGCGACTTGGGTCGCGACTTGTTGACAAAGGACATATGTGGGTCATGAGATTACACAGGTTGACCCTTGCAGGGTCCTATGGGGCCACCCTTTTGTGTGCTAGTAAGCTGTGTGTGTCTCCACAAACACACAGGCAAAGCAAAGCAAGACACTCTCCTGCAAGCTGATACCGGCTCCTCACTTCTCCAAGCTAATAGATGAACATTTGCTGGAGACTGCTCTGTCCCTTTTGATCTTGTACTGGACAGGAAGTTCAGGGAAGCTAAGCTGAGAGAGTTGGAGTCATCTGTTTGAAAGTATGGTGATTGTAAGTGCTTGGACAAATATTAAAGATATACCTTTCTGGCCAATGTACAGGTGAAGCTCAAATAATTAGAATATCGTGCAAAAGTTATTGCAGTAAGTGCTGCAAAAGGGGCCCAAACCAAGTACTGAGTACATATGCATGCTTGTACTTTTCAGAGGTCCGATATTGTTCTATGTACAATCCTTGTTTTATTGATTGCATGTAATAATCTACTTTTTTGAGGTTGTGGATTTGGGGTTCTTGGGGTTTTCATGAGCTGTAAGCCATAATCATCACAATTATGACAAATCACAGCTTGAATTATCTTGCTTTGCATGTAATGAGTCTATCTCATATATTAGTTTCACCTTTTAAGTTGCATTAGTGAAATAAATGAACTTTGCACGATATTCTAATTATTCGAGTTTCACCTGTATATTTGTTTGTTATTTTAAGGAAGCATGGACAATAAATATGTAGGATTCCAGTGCAGTCCTCTCCTGAAAATGTTAGTTGCCCAGCTATCATGTTGATATGGCTTCAGTATTTCCGAGTCACTGATCTGGGACTAGTATATTTATCAGGATCTTTTACTTCGCTCACTGTATACTTGTGCAAGGTCAATGACTCAGAAAGTCAGTGACGCCAGAGACATCTATGCAGCAGAAAAAGGAGATAAGCAAAAGGCACCTCCAATATTTATTTTGCGTTCAGTTCTGTTTCCTTTAAGGGCGGAACACAAGTACTTCACAAATGCATTTTTTTGTATCCATGGAAAATCAAAACACAGATAATAGTGACAAGGCCTTGAAACTTATTAATAGGTACTGAAAGCACACTAAAATACAACCTGAGAAAAAGCTTAGACCAAGACCATTCTAGCCTAAAAAAACATGAATATGCTAAGTGACTACGCCTAGGTAAAGTTACCCCCTCACCACCATCACCACCTATTGATACCCACCTCTCCAGCGATCCACCACTGCCTCTTTCTCTGTTACAGCTGCAACAATATACCTAATGCTTCTGGGGATGGGGGAGCAAGTGCCAATCGCTAGACCCCAGCACTCTCACATGCCGGAGGTGTATTTTGGTCTTAGTTGTGAAGTGACAAAGTGCTCAAAGTATGAGCACAGTGACACTTTAAACTTCACTGATTCAAAGACTTAGAAAACCTCTTTGACACATGCTAAAGAAATGTGATAGATACTGTAGCCGAGTATACTACTTAAAGCGGACTCAAAAATCAAGTTCTACTAATGCATCCCTCTATGTATGATGATTAATAATAACATAGACATGTCAGGTGTAAAATGCTGTGATTTTGAAATACTTACACTTGCACAGCATTCACTTCCTGCTTTGAAAGGGCAAAATGACCTTAGTTTGCCAAAGCAATGCACACTGGGATTGCCTTGTCATCATCAGGGCATTGCTGGGAAATCTCATCTGTAATCTCACACGATCATAGGGAAAGGTGTTTTCCTCCCCTGAGATGATGTGAATGGTCACATGTCCTAGTCACATGTGGAAGAAATCCAGGAAGTAATAGGATAGTTAGTAATCTGCCCTTAGTAAACATGGCCAATGTCAGGAGACTGGGGAAGAAAAGAGAAATAAGGTATACAAAGAATACAAAGCCCTTAGTAAACATGGCCAATGTCAGGAGACTGGGGAAGAAAAGAGAAATAAGGTATACAAAGAATACAAAGCCGGCAATTATCTAGAAGTATGTGTTTGTAGATTGTCATAACTAAACATTTCTAAAGGTGTGTTTATTGTTATTTTACAGATATGGGTAAAGGTTTGAAACTTCTTCATAAATAGACCTTTAAATTAGTCATTTTTAGCTGTACAGATAGACTTTTTAAATGTTTTCTTACCTGTGGCTTCTACAATGCCCTCTAATATTACAATAATTTCAAATTGTTCGCGTTTCAGTGACTCTGCAGACATTTCCCAGAAAGGGCTGTGATCATTTATATTGTGACAGATGATCTGAGGTTCCACCAGAAACAGACGGTCCTCTCCAGTATCATAACCCAGGTTGATCTCTGATTGCTCCAATGGGATAAATTCACCTTCCTTTGTCTGCCTGGATTTGATAAGTTTAGCTCTTATCTTTGCATCCACCATGTGACTGTTCCGTAGATCTCCAATTCTGAACATCAAGCACAACTTTTCATCTCTGTGAGACACCACACATTTCTTACTAAAGATCAAAGTCTCGGCTCTCTTTTTAGGCCGAGAAATCTTTACAAACATGCAGCCCACCATGAGTGCATCAATCATTGATCCTAGGATTGACTGAGCCATGAGTAATATTACACCCTCTGGGCAATAGGCAGTTACCATCCTAGTTCCATAGCCAATTGTTCTTTGACTTTCAACAGAGAAAAGTAAGGCAGAAAGGAAGGTGTCAACATTATCAATACAAGGCTTCCACTCAGGATCCCCAATGTGATTTACGTCATCTCTAAGGAGGGCGTCAATAAAATAAATCACTCCAAATGCAACCCAGGTGACAATATAACATAACATGAATACAAAAATGAACCAGCGATATTTTAGATCCACAATGGTAGTAAAAATATCTGACAAAAACCTCTTCCTCTCAATACGTCCAAGGTTGACCCTGCATTTTCCATCCTTGGTGACATACCTCTGACGCGCTTGACGATTAGTCAGGTTAAAGAGTTGACGATCGTCATACATGAGTTTACAACGAATCCTGTGTGATTTGGAGGTGGCTGGAGTTGAGACAACACTGCAGGTTGGGGTTTTACTTCGCAAGGGAATATTTGGAACACTAAGGGCATGTTTGGGATGCCACTTTGAAACGGTTTCCCGAATAGGCATCTCCTGCTTGGCAGCTCGTTGGTAGCGGGGTAAGTCCTCAGTGTTAATAGTCACACTAGGCCTTTGCTTGGCAACTGGAGGGGGAGCACAAGTATTTGTAGGTTCTATAGAACTGAATCTCCTATGCCGAGTTCCCTTGACACTGTTGGTGTATGACAGCGGTATGAAGCTTGAGATGATGCTACCTTTTTTGGGTGGTGGTAATTCCAGTTTGTGGTTATCTTCACAAGATGTGGCAGAGACAACCATTGTTTCAGGCTATATGAAAACAAACATAATAAATAGTAAATTAATAGTTATCCTTATATCTTTATAAGGAGCTTTTTTAATAAAATACATGTATAAAATGTAAAAGATTCAGGCACTTAGTTATCACATCTGAATATATTTTGAGTTTTGTTATGACACAATCCTCCAAGGTCAGCGATATCATTTCAGGCCCAACATACTTTCAAAAACCTTTCTGTAGAATGGGAGTGTGTGCTAATCCCCCAAGTGCAATGTAACCAAGTTTTTTTTCCTCCAGTGCAGCTGACCACCTTACCCACTTGGCATAAAATATATTAACAATATTAGGATTACTACTTAAACTGTAATGTATGTATAGTCAACATTTGTTCACTTTTGGAAAGAGGAAGGAAAGGGTTTAAAAAAATCAAATTCTATTTTGTTTCCCTGAAGTTCTCCACACACATCCCTGAAGTTCTCCACACACATACATTTCATTTTGAAACGTCCAATGTTTTATTATAAAAATGTATAAATAAAAATTAACCTTCATCCTGGGCAATGCTTTTCCATGCTAATGCTAAGCAAACCTAAATTATTACATAGGAACGACCCTGCATACAATGCAAATTCTAAAATTAAAGCAACATTATTTATTTATTTATTACATTTTATAAAATGCATTGCTTAGACCTAGTTTGGTAAGCTAATTGGCCATTGGCTGCAGAAGCTTTGTCTTTTTAAGCCAATAAATTCCAACTTTTTTCACATAGGGGTTAAAAGCACTAGGTTGTCGCCATAGGATTTATTCCCATAAAGCATTCTTGATGCATGTACATCATGTATAAAGTAAGCATTTTATTTGGCCAGCTAGGTTATGAAGTGTCTAGCGAAACTCACCTTAAGGTATAATAGAAATGATCTGTTGAGGGTTACAGGTAAGTCCTGATTTACCATGAGGCTCTTTAGGCTTTATTGCCCTCACATTTTTTCCTATTATCAGTGCAAATAGAATCAACTCCTATTAGCTTATTTACAAATTGATATAATATGCTAAATAAAGTTGGGACCAGTAAAACAAGGAAATATTCTGTATAAAAGAGGTGATCCTAGCGGAGGGGTGTTGCTTTTAACACCTACATGCATCAGTGATGCAAATGCACACTGGTTACATGCTGTGTGTTATTCCTAGCTACAGCTATGCATAGAAAACGTATTGATTCACATAAAATATTTTGCAATGTTTTGAAAAATATGTAATGTTATGGCATAAAGGGATAAAATGGAACTAAAAATCACAATGCTTTACCTTCTGAGGGAAAGTTCCATATCTGTTGGTATCCGTAGGGGGTCTGGGGAGATAGGCAAGCATATGCTTTCCTGTGGGCATTTGAACTGGAGGAATGGAGTTTCTTCTGATTCGAGGGTCATCTACTTTCAGCCTGTTGTCATTGAGATGATTGGGCACGCAGGACCCATTATCCTGCTGCAAGTCCATGCTGCTGCTAGGAACAGCAAATGCCATTGTGGGTCAGATAACGACCATATAGATTTATGCAAGAGCATGGCACCTCCTCTCTTGAATGCTGCAATGACAATTATGAGTAAAAATTAATGTGAACATAATCCAAAAGGTATATTAAGATCCACTTTATTGTTTAGATCATCAAATACAAGGGCTATACTGCCATATGTTACATCAAAAAGATAATTTATGTCATCTCTGATACATGCCACAAAGTCTATTGTATTTCTTGAAACCTAAATATAATCTGAACTTCACGTATCAATAGAGAAATGCTTTAATGCAACTCAGAGAACCTATTCAATCAATACTGAGAAACAGTAAAATGTATTTATTTTTTTAATTTTGTGAAAAACGAAAGATTGATTGGTTGGAAGATTCTGTCTAGTGTCAGCAACTTAAAGTGACAATAATCTCAGGAGTTAAATCTTAAATTTGCATTCAAGTACCTTAACTATTAACAACATTGCAGCTTACTTCCATCATTTAGCTGTAGATCCTCAAATCATCTGAATTCATGCTGACACTGTTCTTCCTTCTGGAGTGTGACTACTTTGGTTCCCCATGGTCCCTGTGTATGTTGTGAAGTAGCCACCGCTCCAAGCTCGCTCCTGTGATGGACTACAATCTCAATACAAATTAGTAAACTAAACGTGAGATTAAAGTCCATCATGGGAGCGAACTTGGAGCTTGGTGCCTTTAATAATATATTATATCCCAAGATATTGTTTAGCCACAGCCCATCATTTATCCGGTGTATACACTATCTGGGGACTCTTTTACAAGGTTACAAGTTGATAGGTTTGCCTTGGTGCAATGAACATCTGATCATGACAGTGGATGGGTTTGCCTCTATGTAGTGAACACCTGATCACCACAGATTTACCAGATTAGCTGCAAATACAGATTTAAACAAAGTGATTTAAGCAATCACTACTCCCCATTGTTGCACATAAAATAGGCCATGCTAAATTAATATTAAATAAAATCTGAACAGCACCACTTCTGACAGGTTCAACTATGTATCAGTGGGTCACACTGCAAGCCTGTTTACTATTAATTGTTCATCACTTATTAATAGAAAGGTGTGAGCAGTAGAGATTAGGGCACAGGTCATGACAGGATATTGACTACTGAGAGTGTGAGGTATTGGACCGACACATGAATTACATTTCCCTTTTAAATACCTAGAGATGCTAGAAGATGCTACAAGATGCTGGAGAGACATATTTGAGCTTTCCTAATAAAGTTTGATGGCCAGCCCAGTGAGCTCTGATGGTTAGTAAGGCTTTCAATGGTACCATATGTGATTATCTGCAAACTGGATAAATCACTATTTACATGTTGTATCAAACATCAGCAACAACTGAACAGAGGGCTTTATGGATGTTTAGTTAACACACATGCTATTTAAAGCCAATGCTTAGGCTGTTTTGAGCTTATACACTACCTCTACTTGCTTAAGTAAAATTGGATTAATTACGTGCAAGATCTTGTTACATTGGGGTCTATTCACAAAGCTGCCGAGGGCAGCCTAGTTCTCCGCCCAGCTGTCAGAAGCAGGCTGTCGGCCGGCCAATGGCCGGCCGCTCGGCCAGCTTCGTCTTTCAGCACGGCTCAGCGCTCAACTGAGCCGCTCGGCCGTGATCAGGAGCTGTACGGGCTATTCACAATCGAACCGAAGGGGTCCTGGTGCCGAAGCTAGCCGAAGGATCGGCCGAAGCTACGGCCAGATCCTTCGGCAGCTTTGTGAATAGACCCCATTGTCTCCTTTAAATAGATTACAAGCACAAAATGGGCTGCACATATTCACCTTTCCTTTACTTGCTGCTCCATTTGGCAGCTAGGAAAGAAGAGAAATACATGGTACTTTGGGTATTGGGAGCATATGACTTACATCCCATTCTCTCATGTGACAGCGCTGGTGATTGCTGACTGGCTGCTGAGGCAACCAACGCTGTCACATTGGGGTGTTCAGAGAGGCTTCAAGACCTTTTTATCGTGACCCTATCGGAAATATAACATATCTGAATAAGAGCTTCCTGCAAAAGAGGTTAGTGCTTTGCCCTTGCTGCTATTGATCTTGGTGACCTGTTTAGTTTTCTACAGCAGTTAGAGAAAAATGGCAAGGTCACCTCCCTGCTTTAGGCAAAGATGGAACAGTTTCAGATTGATGAGCTCATCCCTCTGCTCTTCCGCTTATCAACAGGTGGCTTGTCAGACCATGTACATCCAGCACACATGATCAAAAAGAGTTCTGTTAAAAAGGAGATGACAACAGGCTGGTACCAAGCCAAAATCAGTTACTTGATCTAGTTTTAAAAAAAATGAAAGCAAAACTATGTCCTCCTTTAAAAAAAAAAACAACAAAAAACTATGCGCAGCACTTAATTATGTGTATTTGCACATAAACTTGGTCCTCTTGTTGATTCTGCCAATGATGTCCACCTAATGCAGCTTCCTGTGATGGTCTGGCAATGATGCTGCACTGCTCCTAATGTCAGAGCAGATTTGCCACTCTCATTTAGGCTTCCACACACTGATAAAAAGATTTTGCAAGGTGCATGGCCATCAGTATTGTCATTTCTGATTCACAAGCCTGTAGCTTGCCAGTCATCGCCTGGTCACACCTAGTCCTGCCCACTGCTTTCTGGACTGACAGCACTGATCTGTTGCTGAAACCCTCACACTTTTTATGTTGCAATATCTGGGAGGGGAAGTGCGTGAGACACAAATATGGGAGGATTTGCCTCAGTCAGGAACAGTAAAGGAAGTTGTTTCTTTAATTTACGCGGCTTGTGCATCAAAAAGTAACTGAACATGGTACACGTTTTTATACTGTCTTACCAAAGCCTTTAGTTGCACTGTAATGATCTTTTAATGAATACATAATTGTTTTTGATTATAAATAATAATCACTCATTTTATATGTCCCCAAAGTTCAACTTTAGGGTTACCAAGCATTCACTCTGACTTGTGTGAAGGGAAAAAAATCAAAAGCACAAACTAGCGTTAAAGCCCAACTCCAGGCACAGTTATTTTTGTAATTTTTTAGTTTTGGATAGAGTTATGGAAGATTATAACCCCGGCAAGCTTTTTTTTTGGCATCTATATCTCATTCGGAAGATTTCCATTCACTTCCTGTCCGATAGCCACAACAGGAAGTTATCCAAAATGAGGGAAATCCCTGGCAGTTTGCAGGGTCACAGAACTAGCATTCCTATTGGAAGATTTCCCATCTATTCCTGCTCTGGTGACGACTCAAAATTTGGGATTGTATTTCACTTTTAGTGATAATGGTCACCAGAACAAATAGAGAGGGAGAATCTCCATATCAGGGACACAGACAGCAATAAAACAAAAACCTGACAGGTGTTCTAATCCCTCTCCATGCTATCCAAAATTAAAAAGGTTTTTGCTTTAGCTGCACTTTAAATAAAGATTTCACAAAACATAAAAATAACTGGGCCTGAAGTTGACTTTCAACCACTCTAAAGAAAATCCTTATACACTAGCACAGGGGTGGGCAACTCCGGCCCTCCAGCTGTGCTTTAACTACAAATACCAACATGTCTCTGCCTCTGGGAGTCATGCCTGTAACTGTCAGTCTTACAATGCCTCATGGGACTTGTAGTTCCACAACAGCTGGAGAGCCAGAGTTGCCCACCTCCAGCATTAGTACTTAGGATGACAATATTAAAAAGAACTTTACCCATCAATGTATTGTCTCCCAAAACCTTTACTTTTAAGGTAGGCCAACTGTCAAGGTTGCCATTGTGCTTATTTCAGCTCTCAACTTAACTTTCAAGCCCTCAAATAGCTGGTGTCATAGCTGATCATGTGCAGCACCATGGCATACCTCCCAACTGTCCCTTATTTAGAGGAACTGTCAATCTTCTGGAACCCAATCCTACTCCACTAAACCTTTCATCTTACATACATTTTTTTTATTTTTTGAAAAACTAAAATAAAGGAAAATAGTGATAAAAAAAATAAAATTGTTGTGTAAAGGTAGGCCTGTGACCTTTGACTAGTTAGGAGGTATGCCATGGCAACTGCAATCCAAATAGGGGCTAATACGGCACCTTCCTTGGCTGTAAAGTGTAGGAGGTTGTAATTCTACTTCAATAGATTTACAATTAAAAATGAGGGACTATCAATTGTTACAAATATATTTACAAGTACATTTTAGTAGCTTCTACAAATAGCCAAATTAATTTTGGTTTCCTAATCCATTAGTAGTAGTTGCTCTGATACGGCCAACCTATTTTAAGAATATTAACCACAAAACTATTTACTGTTGAATATTTTCTCGCATTTAAAGTGCAGTTTTTGTGAACATTAAAGGAAAAATAGAGTATAACACAAAGCACCGATATAAAAGTCCATTAATACAGACAAAACAGACTGGGATGCACATAATATCGATAAAAGCCTTTCTGGTAAAATAATGGCCAACATTAACAACAACAAAAAAAAACAACATCTGTGCTTCGGTGTCTAAGCCGCCTTTTGCCGGAGAGAGGGTCTTCATTAAAACAGAGCGGCACTCTGTAAATGACACATGTATAATCTATGCAGAAAGAAGGACAGGTTTAGGGCCTGGATTATGAAGGCCTGTAATCCCCACCAAATGAGGCCTGAAGCTCATCAAATGCTAAGATTACTTTGCAGATCAGAGAGGAAAACCATTGCTTATCAATGGCAGTCCTTTCGGAAGCGCGACAAATTTTCTTCTGTACGTTTTGGCTTCAGAAGGATTTAAGCCTATGAGTTTCACAGCTAAAGGTGCATTTGCTATTTATAGATTCTAATTTGTAACTGGTAATGTCCAGGCTCAAATCACAATCCAGAACTCACGTGCTGGGTACATAATGTGCATAGATCACATGACCCATGCAGCACCGGCAATTATCATAATCTAAGTATCTCACACAGTACACAAGTTGATTGAAAGTCTTTTATGTTGTTGTTTTAATAAAAAATATATTTAACTATAC